CTCTCAGTATATATATGTCTGGAGAAGAAGATACTTTTTTGGATCTGGTTATCTATATGGACAGGTAGAAATGACCTTTGGTGATCATCACTAACTTTCAAATGACTCATGATGGTGGTAGTTTCAAAAATAAAAGGTCTGTATTTGTTAGATGTTATGAAGGTTTTCTAGCTAATGTAAGAGGTTTGAAATTGGTGAGTTTTGGTAACTCTAACTGTAAACTAATTAACACTTTTACAAACGTAGTTTAGATTGCTTACTACACATAGTGAGGATGTTACCTAGTGTCATATTATTTGTTACCCGTCATTAGCAGGTAATATGGTCTAAGACTGGCAAATTATACTGAACGACACAGGGCGCCTCAAACATACTGCCCTCGGGAATAAGAAACGAGTGCAAGGTGCTGCGTATTACTTCGATTTTCATTACGACTGGTGAGGCCATGTGGGGCAAACTTCGACCAAGAACGAGTTACCAAAAGCTAACACATGCTCGAGTTCCCAATTACAACTTTATACTATAAATAAAACCCATAACGCCTTATTAATTGGGGGTTTTAAGATCGAACAATCGAATCCTGGCATGCGAATGCCATTTTCTAGTCTGAGCCAATTATTTTATAAGTTGAAATAACAAGGATCAAATCCCAAGCAAAATGTCTCACCACACATGAAATAACATCAACATTTGATCCAATAACCCCTTGAGGTTCCTGTGTTAAGCAGAGCTTACAAGAACAAACAGCGGCGTCTCTCCTAGTTTCTCCTTTCCCTTCAAAAACATTGCAGCCAGATGTCACTTCGTAAGCAAATCAGAGTAAGAGAGTGGAATCAGATAGTAAAACAGAGAAAAGAAGTTAAACCTTAAGCTCCGGTAACTCAATTACGCAAGCACACTCAACAATCTTCACTCCTACTCGCTCTGCAAAACACAACCAATGGGAGGAGGGAGAGAGAGAGAGTCAAGTTTATTGAAAGATGCCACATTATCAAAAGGTTGAATCAATAACATGAAAACAAATCTCTCAAAATCGAGAAATCTTGCACTTACCGAGCAGTCGGATTGCAGCAGCGAGAGTGCCACCCGTGGCAATGAGGTCATCTATGATAATAGCGCGCTCACCAGGCTCTACTGCACCTACATGCATCTCAATCTTATCTGTTCCATACTCCAATGAATACTCCTCTGAAATAACCTTCCCTGTTAAAGAAACCAAAATCATAAGGTATTTCAGAGATTAATTTCTAGTAATTGGATTAAACAGCTTAGTCCCTCAATACGTTCCAACAAACAAGCACTTAAGCTACTGCGAGGTACCAGAAAGAAATATGATGTCGCAGCATAGATAATCGAAGACATAGCAAGATAAAAGTGAGGTTGCTCAAGTCAGAGAAGATAATAATTGTGAACTTAGAGCAAGAAGCCATGTCAACTAACAAGTTCGTACGAAAACACCATGAATGTAAGTGAATACTCAAACAGGAGGAAGTCAGTAGAGGAAAGAGAGAAACATATATACCAGGTAACTTCTTGGGCTTCCTCATGGGAACAAATTTGGCACCAATAGCAAGGGCGATAGGAGGGCCAAAAATGAAACCCCTAGCTTCAACACCTGCATTTTTGTTCATCCACCGATTCATTACATACAAAAACAACATTTCAGTATCCAATGTAGAGCTGATCTATCGATCCTCAAGTTACCTGCAACAACAGAGATGTCTTTCCCTTTGTATCTATCGACAAACAAATTAATGGTATCCCTAAAGGCCTCAGTGTCGAGAAGCAGCGTCGTTATATCCTGAAACATGATCCCTGAAAGTCCCAATCCAGAGAAGTTTTTTAACATGGCAGAGGCAGATCAAAGAGTAAAGCCATAAGTGAAAGTGAAGAAAACAGAAACAAAACCTGGTTTAGGGAAGTCAGGGATGACTCTAATGGAAGATGCGATCTTTGGGATTCTCGGATCTTGTCCACCATCAGTAGCCATTTCACTGTCCCGATTAGC